GTGTCCCGCCCGCCCGCCCGACAAGAATAATCAGTTGATAATCCACCACACAGGGAATCAATATATGTAATCCGCCACCAAGGCAACCAATGCTATTAATGTCCCGCCCGCCCGCCCGACCAAAGGAATCATATTGTAATCCGCAATAAAGGGTTACCCCTAGGGCCTACCCCTGGCTACCCCTTGGGAAGCCTAGGGCCTTGGGTAGGGCCTACCCTTGGGAAGCCTAGGGCCTTGGGTAGGGCCTACCCTTGGGAAGCCTAGGGCCTTGGGTAGGGCCTACCCTTGGGAAGCCTAGGGCCTTGGGTAGGGCCTACCCTTGGGAAGCCTAGGGCCTTGGGTAGGGCCTATAGGGTAGCCAAGGCCCCCGGTGATCTATACCTGGGTTCCCTGCTGCAGTGATGGCGGCGGAACGCAGTAGTTCGCTGCGCGTGCATGATGCGTGCTGGCGCAGACTGTCTGGTGACTTGCCCAGCTGCTTCTCGCCTTGGCCCGGGAAGCGCGGTCCATCCACCGTTGCGAAGGCGCACTAATTAGGTTTTCGATCCACCTTGCGTGAAAGAAGACCCCGTGCTCATAGACAATGTCGGGCGGCTCCTCGAGATCCCATGTTAGCCAGGGGAATATGGAGCACCCTGTCGCGGCGGCATCTGCCCTGGTTCACGTGATCGCACTGGTCTGCTGTTGGACGAGGTTTCGACGGATGGCCGGGTCAGGTTGAAGGATCGTTGGATGCCTTCTGGCGCTTTGGCCCTAGTTTCTCAACGCACCCAGGGAAGTGATCCGTCCCCCTCCTCCTCCTCCTCCTCCTCCTTCTCCTCCTCCTCCTCCGCCTCCTCCTCCTCCTCCTCCTCCTCCTCCTCCTCCTCCTCCTCCTCCTCCTCCTCCTCCCCCTCTCTGCGGCCGCCTGCTTTGTTTCCCGCTCTTGCATGTTGGCCAGCTCGCTACAACGTTGCCCCCGTTTCGTTAGCCCTTTCCGCCGGCGCAGACGACCTCCGCCTAGCCGCCGACGCAAACAACATATGGAGATTCGCTCGGATCGGGCGGGGGAGGCTCCGCTGTGCTCCTGCTTGTGAGGCATTCGGGATGTTTTTGGGCGCTTCTTTGGGTTTCGTTGCGAATTCGTGGTATTCTGAGCATCTTTGGCTATCGGCGCCCCTTTGACCGTCGGCGGCCATATGTTTTTCTGCGCCCATGAGTTTTCGGCGGCGCGTTGGTTCTCGGCGCCGTTTGGGTTTCCTGCGCTCATTTGGTTTTCGGCGCCCGTTGGGTTTTCGGTTTCCTTTTGGTTTTCGGCACCCGTTTGGTTTTCGGCGCCTTTTTGGTGTTTTGCGACTCTTCTGGTTTTCGGCGGTCCTTTGGTTTTCGCCCCCCTTGGGTTGTCGGCACCCTTTTTGGTGGCCCCGCCTTGGTTTTCGGCGCCCTTGTGAGTTTCGGCGCTCTTTGGTTTTCGTCGCCTTTTGGTTTTTCGGCGCCCGCCCTTTCGGTTGTTGGCGCCCCTTTGGTTTTCGGCGCCTGTTTGGTTTTCGGGGCCCGCGTGGTTTTCGGCGACCTCTTGGTGTTCGGCGCGTTTTGGTTTTCGGCGTTCCATTGGTTTTCGGTCTCCTTTTGGATATTGTCGCCCTTGTGGTTTTCGTGCTCCTCTCGGTTTCGGCGTTGTCTTGTTTTTTGGCTCTCCTTTGGGTTTGTCGGGTCTTTTGGTTTTCGGCGCATCGTTGGTTTCGGAGGCGTTTTGGTCTTCTGCGCTCCTTTGGTTTTCGGCGCCCTTGTGGTTTCCGGCGCCTTTTTGGTTTTCGGAGCTCCTGTTGTTTTTGGCGCCCTGTTGGTTTTCGGCGCTTTCTGGTTTCGGCGACCCTTTGGGTTTCGCCGCCTCTTTTGGTTTTCGGGGCCCCTGTGGTTTTCGGCGCCCTTCGGTGTTCGGCGACTCTTTCGTTTTTAGCGTCTCTTTGATTTTCGGCGCTCCTTGGTATTGGGTGCCCTTTTTGGGTTTTCGGCGTTCCTTTGGTTTTCGGAACCCATTGGGTGTTCGGCGCCCTTTTGGTGTTTGGCGACTCTTTGGTTTTCGGCGTCTCTTTGGTTTTCGGCGCCCCTTTGGTTTTTGGCGCCCCTTGAGTTTTCGGCGCCATTTTGGTTTTCGGCGCCTCTTTGGTGTTCGGCGATCTTTTTGCTGTCGGCGCCTGGTTGTTGGCGCCCTTTTGGTTGTTGGCGCCCCTTCGGTTTTCGGCACCTCTTTGGTTTTCGGCTCCGCTTCGGTTTTCGGCGCCCTTCCGGTTTTAGGCGCCTCTTTGGTTTTCGGTGCCCTTTAGTTTTCGGCGCCCTCTCGGTTCTCGGTGGCCCTCTGGTTTTTGGCGCTCTGTTGGTTGTCGGCGCTCTTTTTTGTCTTCGGCGCGATTTCGTTTTGGCCAAAAGGGGGGGAGAGGGGGGAGGGTTTCCAAATTCTCTCACTCCTGTAGCTCAAAAGGGGGGAGGGGGGGGGCTTCCAGCAGGGGGGGTGGGCCGAGGTGGGGAGGTAGCTAAGCCCCCGTTTCGGCAAGGGGGAAGTCAGAGCGTGAATTACCTACCTCGCTTTCGCTTCCAGGCAAAACCAAGTCATACCACGCGCCTCCTCGTCAAGCGGCCTGACCAGTACAGGCCGTAGTTGGCATCGCTTGGTATCTCTTGGAAGCGAGGGTGGTCAAAAGCGAGGTCGGTTTGCTTGCCCCCTAAAGGGGGGTAGCTTCCGGAGCACAACATGGGGGGATGGGGTGGGTGTCCAAAGGGGGGTGTAGCTGAGCTCCCCCCTTTTTTTCGGAAATGGGGGAAGGGGTGGGGTAGCTTCTGGAACGCGAAGGGGCGGGGGTAGTTATCTAGTTTCCGAGTGGCGGACAAAAAAGGGGGGGGGGTTGGGGGGTGGAGGTCCAAGGGGGTGTAGCTAAAGGGGTACCCCCCTTTGCTCGGTCCTTGCGTGGGCGCTCTCTCTGAAAATGGCTGTACTGTTTTCCTGGTGGGTTTCGGCTTCAAACGTGGCACCCGCTGGTGCGGTGTCAAGGTCTGAAAGAGCGTGTTCTACCGCTGCTGGCGGAAAACCGGGGGGGGTCACTACCGGTTCGAACCCCTCCCCCCCCCCTCCGGAAAACCGGGGGGGGTCACTACCGGTTCGAACCCCTCCCCCCCCCCCCCCCAGCTCATCATGAAAAGGGGGGGGGGGTCACTACCGGTTCGAACCCCTCCCCCCCCCCCCCGGATCCGGAAAACCGGGGGGGGTCACTACCGGTTCGAACCCCCCCCCCCTCGAAAACCGAGTGGGGGTGCGGACAGTGGTGGGGACGGTGTTGGTGGGGACAGTGGTGAGGGGATAGCGGGACAGTGGTGGGGACAGTGGGACAGTGGGACAGTGGTGGGGACGGTAGTGGTGGGGACAGTGGTGGGGACAATGGTGGGAACAGGGGGGGACAGTGGACAGTGGTGGTGACGGTGGTGGTGGGGACAGTGGTGTGGGGACAATGGGAATGAGGTGGAAACAGTGGGACAGTGGAGGGTACAATGGTGGTGGGGACAGTGGTGAAGGCGGTGGCGAGGACGGCGGTGGGACAATGGGACAGAGGTACAGTGGGGACAGTGGTGGGGACAGTGGGGACAGTGGTGGGAACAGTGGGACAGCTCAGTGGGACAGCGGAGGAGTCAGTGGGACAGTGGGGACAGTGGGGATAGTCGGGCAGTGGTTGGGGCCGTGGAGACAGTGGGGAGAGTGGAACCGTGGTGGGAACAGTTCTGGGGACAGCGGGGACAGTGCGACAGTGGTGGGGCCACTGGTGGGGACAGTAGGGGCGGTGGTGGAACCAGTGGGGACAGCGGTGGTGAGGACAGTGGTGCTGGGAACACCAGTGGGGGATGTGATGCGGACGGTGGTGGGGACCGGGAGTCGTTTGCTGGCGGTGAGTAGGGGGGGGGGGGGGGGGGGGGGGGGTTCGAACCGGTAGTGACCCCCCCCGGTTTTCCGGATCCGGAGGGGGGGGGGGGGGGGGGGGGGGAGGGGTTCGAACCGGTAGTGACCCCCCCCCGGTTTTCGAGCGGGAGGGGGGGGGGGGGGGGAGGGGTTAGGGGAAGGGGGGGGTTTTGCCGGGGGAAGGGGGGGGAGGGGGGGGGGGGGGGGGGGAGGGGTTCCAGCAGGGGGGGGGGATTTTCGGAGGGGGGGGGGGGCGACCCCCGGGTTCCGGAGGAAAAGGTTGGCAATTTTCCACAGTAAAGCGGCGGTGGATCACGCTCTCTCCAAGGTCTGTATCCTTCTTGTGCGTGAGGGGGTGACACAGCATGGTGTAGATGGTGTCGTTATCTTCCCGTGCAATCCCATTCGTTCGCCCCTGAGCTTTCGCTGGTCGAGGCGGTGTTTCTGGTAGATGGTGTCGAGGTCCGTTTGGTGTTTGTAAGCGGGGTCGCTGTATGCAGCGACTACGGTCGATGCCGCCTCCACTCTGGAGTGGAGCGACGCAGTCTTCCTTTCGAGCCTGGTTGCTCTCGGGTAAGGGAGTCTTTTTGGAGGCCCTTGCTTGGTGGCTTGGGCTACTGTTGTGCAGGAGCCATGGCGCGCGCGCGGTTGCTGAAGGGGGATGGGATGGGACACGTATCAGTACCGCGCCGAGTGGCGCGGCTCTGGTCTTCCCAGGCGGAAACGCATGCGGGGGTTGCGTGTCAAGGTTCGCCTTGAGCACACGTGCTCTCGTACCGAGACTGTACAGGAGGGGGGAGAGGAAAGAGAGGGAAAGGGAGGGAGGGAAGGAAAAGAGGTCGGAGAGGATGGAAAAGAGGGAGGAGAGGGAGGAAACAGCGGAGGGATAGGATGGGGAGGAGAGAAGGGGGAGGAGGGAGGAGAGGAGGGAGGATAGGAGGAAGAGGAATGCGGGGAGGGAGGAGAGGAGGACGGAGAGGAGGGAAGGAGAGGAGGGGAAGTGGAAAGAGGAGGGGAGCAGGCTGGCCAGAGCCCCCGCCACCCGCTGGCGCTTCGCACGGTTCCGGCGGCGGAGGACGATTTCGGCCCGGAGTATCACGCCGCCGTGGCGGCGCATAAGCGGTTGGGCGATTGCAAGAAGGCGGCCTCGCCCTCCGCGCCCCGTTCTTCCCTCCTCCTCCTCCTCCTCCTCTCGGCGTCACCCCAGCATACTTATACTATGTGTGCGTCGCCCCCCCAGAGGCGACGCGCGCACCGAGAAATCTTATAGTATGCGTCGTGGCGGGCGCTTCCTGGCCACACCGCTCGGGAAACGATATACTACAAGATGGGTATACTATATGGTCGGGTCGGACGCACGCCTCCAAGGAGGACATAGTATTAGTATGTCTCTGTGCGTCCCATCCTCTTCCTCCTCCTTTTCCTCCTCCTCCTCCTTCTCCTTTGCTTTCTCCTCCTCCTCCCTCTCCTCCTCCTCATCCTCCTCCTCTTCCTCCCCCTCCTCCGAGAAAGACTCGGGGGCACCCGAGTGGGTCCCCACCCCCGTTCCAAGGAGGTCCCCGTGGCGTTGGGGTTATGGTCCGGGGACAAGGGAGGAATGCGGGGGGTAGAGGGAAGACGGATCAGAGAGGATGATTCTTTCCAGTGCTGTTACTTGTCCTTCGTCGCCACGGACCGGCTTTGCCTCGAAATCCTGGGCAAGATGCCCTGCGGGTGGGCCTTGGTGTCTGGGCTTTTCGTAGGCTGCGCAGACGCGATGGCGCGCTCGGTGTCGATGCGCACGCGCGCGATTGTCGAGCTCGTGTGACTTGCATGTCGGTGCGCTGTCACGTGCACGGCGGGGTAGTGCATTTCCCTCTCCCCACGTTGATCGCGGAGGGGAATCATGACACATTTTTGTTTGGGGCGGCGCTCCCCACACCTGAAATTCAGATTGCCCCTGTCTCAAATTCAGATTGGCCCTGTCTCAAAAGCAGATTGCCCCCCACCCCCGAGGACTCGGGCGAGGCGTTCTGCCTGAGATTTCTGCGCATACATTAACTGTTCACATTGGCCCGGTCTGAAATTCAGATTGGCCTGGTCTGAAATTCAGATTGGCCCGCTTTGAATTTTATATTGCCTTGGGCTGAATCGAAGACGCCTACGGCGAACCACCACCGCCCCGTGCCTTTTTGGAAGCGCCTATGTGTCCGAACGTTGAGGCCAGACCTGCCAAGCCATCGGACCATGTGTTCCCCGAATCGGTTTGGAAAGCCTTCGGGAAACACGTGGGCATCTTGAAGGTCATTTTGGCCGTCTTGGAGGCCTCTTGGGCGATCTTTCGGCGATCTGTGGGGGCTCTTGGGCCGTCTCGGGCCGTCGGAAGGCCGAAAAGAAGGAAATGTCAAAATCCGTCAACAACCTCAGGACAATCCATGTTTTTGGTCTCTTCTGGCCTTCCTGGAGGCCCTCTCGGGGGCCTCTTGGGCCGTCTTTGGCCAGCTTCGAGCCAACTTCGGCCATCTTGGTGGGTTCCTGGCACGTCTGACGCCGTCGGGAGCCGTCTTGGGGGCCTTTCTGGGCCAACGGGGGACCCTCTTGGGGCGCTTCGGGGCTGTCTTGGAGGCCATCTTGGGCGTCTTGGAGGCCATCTTGGGCGTGTTGGAGGCCTCTTGGGCCGTCTTGGGGCCCTCTTGGGGCCATTTTGGAGGCCACTTGGGCCGTCATGGGGCCCTCTTGGGGGCCTCTTGGGCGATCTTGGGGGCCTCTTGGGCCGTCTTGAGCCGTCGGAATGCCGAGAAAAAGGAAATTCCCAAATCCTTGAAAAACCTACACAGAAAATCAATGATTTTGGCCTCTTCGGGCCCTCCTGGAAGACCTCTTGGAGGCCTCTTGGGCCGTCTGGGAGGCCTCTGGGGGGCCTCTTGGGCCGTCTTGGGCCGTCTTGGACCCTCTTGGGCCGTCTTGGAGGCCGTCTTGGACCATCTTGGGCGGACTTGGAGGCCATCTTGGGCCATCTTCGCGATTTTTGAGGATGTCCCGAGCGAACCGGCCGTTTCAGGGAGGATTTTTCGTGGAGTTTGCGCTCCTGGGCAATCCTCCCGGGACCTCGGCGGGACGGGCCGAAGCGCCAGGGGGAGTTTTTTTTGGAAAAAGAACCACAACCAAAACCGAAAGGATCCATCACGCCAGGCACCCCTGCGATGAATCGACAGGGGGCGGCGGATTTCAGATGTGGTGGCTCCGCGTGGAAGAATTCTTCGGTTTGGCGCCGCTGCCCTCGGGACGAATGCGGTCGACGTTTGCTCTCCTGCGTGGGATAGGGTTCTGTTAGGGTAGCTGGCACTGGGAGCCTCGATGTTCCTTTGGACGTGGCGCGCCTTGCGGATGCGAAAAGATGAGAAGTCGATTTTTCCTGGTTGGGGGTGTCGAGTGATGACCACGAAGTCATTGGGGGAGCGGCGATATTGGTATCTCTTGTTGCACCCCGATATGAAGGAGGGACGAGGAGGTAGGAGGAGGAGGAGGAGGTGGAGGAAGAGTAGGAGGAGGAGGTGGAGGAGGTGGACGATGAGGAGGAGCAGGAGGAGGAGGAGGAGGAAGAGGAGGAGGGAGGGAGGAGGAGGAGGAGGGGGGGGAGGAGGGGGAGGAGGAGAAGGGGGAGGAGGAGGAGGAGGAGGAGGAGGAGGGGGAGGGGGGAGGAGGTGGAGGAGGTGGAGGAGGAGGAGGAGGAGGAACACGAGGAGGAGGAGGAGGAGGAGGAGGAGGAGGAGGAGGAGGAGGAGGAGGATAAGGCACTGGCTGGGAGCGGCCGCGCAGCCTGAGCGCGAGGGCCGCCACAGGAGACTGAAGCAGACGCAAGCGTCGCCTCGGCCGTCGGTGAGCGGCCAGCCTCCCCCCCCTAGGGAACTCGGAGGCAGGCCACGACGGAGAAAGCGAGGCTGCGCGACAGCGGCGGCAGCACGAGATTTGGGCCAGGTCCCAAACGGCCCCCCCCCAAAACGGGGGGGCCCCGACCCCAAGGACCTAGCCCTGAGCCCCTGGAGGCCCAAGGCGCAACCAGACGGCCTCGGGGTCGTCCACTCCAAGGGGTCGCGGCTGTCGACTGGCACGTTCATTCGGACGGCCCTCGTCAGCTGGGTGACGCCTCTCAAGAAATAACTTGCGATTGCGCGTCGCCCGCTCAGACATGAGGTCAACCCGAGGCGGGAGAGCGCAATCAAGCAGTAGGTGGCCAGCCAGGCCTGTGGTAAAGAAACCGCACCGAATGCATAACACCACCTCCCCTGGGGACACCCAACACCTGTGCCCCCTAGCCGCTTCAGGCGGAACGATGCCGCTGGTGGGCATGGGGGCAACGGGCACTGTGGTGGCAGACAGGGTGGGGCGGGGGTTGCGCGGCGCCACCTTCCGCCGCTTGGATGGCATGAAGGCGGGCCCGTCACTATCTCGTCCCTCGACTCGCTGGGTCGCCCGCTCCTGCTGCTCCTGGGCAGGCGAGCGCATCAAAACCACAGGGTCAAAGGTCACACGTCTGCGGACACGGCGGCCATCACCCGACGAATCCGAACTACACGACCGACGACCAGTCGCACGAGAAAGGTCCGACACGTCAACGTCAACGAAAGCAGGGGAGGCAGCAGCAGGGGTGCCACTGTCCCCTCCTGGAGTCCCTCCCTCCTGATGCTGGGTACGCCCCTCGGCGGGAGGATCCACGATCACTTCGCCTTCAGCCCGAGGGCTGGTGAGGAGCTGGCCGTGCCCACTCCCCCCGGAGGCCGCAGACAAGCGGGGACTCCCAGCATGCGAGGGCGGCGATTCCAGGAGTTCGGACGCACCCTCGCCCGCCCGCAGGCGAGCAGGAGGAGGAGGAGGAGGAGGAGGAGGAGGAGGAGGAGGAATAAGAGGAGGAGGAGGAGGAGGAGGAGGAGGAGGAGGAGGAGGAGGAGGAGGAGGAGGAGGAGGAGGAGGAGGAGGAGGAATAAGAGGAGGAGGAATATGAGGAGGATGAGGAGGAGGGAGAGGGGAGGAGGAAGAGGGAGGAGGGACAATCCTCGGAACTTGGTAGAAAGAGAGAATAATCACGCAATGAGCTTTTCACGACAGTTTATGCGCAACACATGGGAGACGACGGCGCCAGGGTCGGCGCTTCAATATCAACTGAAATTCGCCTCTGAATATTCCTGCGCAGCGCGAAAGCAACTGAACGAACAAAGTGTATCCTCGGCGTCTGATTTTTCCCATCCACACGCGCCGCCAAGGGGGATCCCCTCTGGTGCGCCTAGGTTGTACGTTGTTTCTGGCCTCATGTCCGACGCACTCGTCTCAACTATGTGTTAAAAGATCTTTGCGCGGCTGTGTGTGTGTGTGTGTGTGTGTGGAGGTTCCGCTTGGCCCGTGCCATCAGTTTGTTTGCCAAGCGGATAATCGTACGCCAGCCTGCTCGGGTGGTGAGGCGGGGCACTTCGGAGGCGGGCCCAGGGCGGCCCGGGCTGGCCAGCAAGGCCATCAGCGTCCTCAACAAGCCGGTCGAGATGGCGATGAAGTTGCGGGTGCAGTACAACGACCCGACGCGGGGCCGGGCGTTCCAGAGAGTGTCGCTCGCCGACGGGAGCTCGGGAGGCCCACGCGGCCTCCAGAGCGCCCGTCGCGAGGCCCCTGGAGGGTGCCAGGGGCTCCACCGTGGCGGGCAGAGATGCATGCATGTATGTATGTATGTATGTATGTATGTATGCATGCATGTATGTATGCCTGCATGCCTGCCTGCCTGCCTGCCTGCCTGCATGCATGCATGCATGCATGCATGCATGCATATATATATATATATATATATATATATATATGTTCGGGTCGCACGCGCGCCTCCAAGGAGGACACATAGTACTAGTACGTCATCGTGCGTCCCATAGGTAGCTGTCGCCTCGCCCCAGATTCCTTTTGGTGCCCTGGATGTCTCGCTTTTGGGGTGCGCAGTCGTAGAAGCTTCGTCGTGCTGTGCGATCACCTGGGGAGCTCAAGAACGTGTCAAAATGTGCCCTCCTGGGCAAGCTTGGAGTTCTCGTTGGCCGTCCCGTGCCCTTTGGAGGCCGTCCTGGGGCTCTGTTGTGGACCTTCTTTGCCCGTGTTGGGGCGTGTATGGGCCGCCTTGGACCCCGCCTTGGACCCATCCGCGAGTCCGTTTTGCACAGAAACCTTGGAACACAATCCGTGCAGACAACCATGGGTTGGATGATTGTGGCCCGTGGGAGAAGATGTTTTGGCTGTTTTGCATCTATGGTGGGGATCCTTAGACGCATATCGGAGGCCACCGATTTGGAGCCATCCAGTAAAGTCTGGGGAGGCATCTGGAGCTGTTTGTCCCCCTTTTGAAAAGATAGAACGCCCGAGCCGTTCAAGCACCGCATTGGATCAGCTCCGCGCTCCTCTTCCCAACTTGAAGCTGGCTGGACCCGGCGGCGACCCCAGGGGGAAGTGAGAAGGGGCGGGCATTCTCAGAATGCTCGGAACTCCCCCGGCTTCTTGACAAGTTTTCTAAGCCGTCTCCTCAGACACAGAACATTTCTCACAATGCGCGAGGGCTTCTGAGAAGGCCCGCCGCCTTCTGAGAAGGCCTTCTCCTTCTCACTTCCCACCCTCGCTTGCTGCCGAGGAGGAGCAACGATGTCACACACCAGGGGGCGATTTTTTCGATACGGAGTCCCCAGACCTCTCGACCCATTCCCTGGGGCTGGCTTTTCATCCCGAGTCGCTTCTGGACGGTCCTGGGGCTCAGATACGGCCCCCAGGGGTTGAGAATTGTGAATCACGTTTTTCCCAAACATTTTACAGCTCCCTGGGCCCGTCCCAGGTCCCGGGGCCGTCAGGGAACTACTCTTAAGTCGAGCCTGTCCCTCTACAGGGGGAATCTTCCAAAATAGTAAAAAAATAGTCTGGGGACTATTGTTTGAGTATTTTTGGGCTTTTTGTGAATTTTCCCAACCATCCTGGGGTGTTGGGTCCTCGTTTTGAATAGACGGTCCCCGCGTTCTCCTTCTCTCCTCCTCTTCCCCCTCCTCCTCCACCGTCCGCATGCGTCCCGCACACCCAGTACAGCGTTTCGTGGCCCTCCTCCCCCTCCTCCCTGCGTTTCACCCACCCAGTACAGCATTTCGTGGCCCCATAAGGAGCCCCACCGAAGGTCCCAGTGCTACCGTCCGCATGCGTCCCGCACACCCAGTACAGCGTTTCGTGGCCCATAGGGAGCCTCACCGAAGGTCCCAGTGCTACCGTCCGCATGCGTCCCGCACACCTAGTACAGCGATTCGTGGCCCTGTAGGGAGCTCCACCGAAGGTCCCAGTGCTACCGTCCGCATGTGTCCCGCACACCTAGTACAGCGTTTCGTGGCCTTCCTCCCCCTACTCCCCGCGTTTCACCCACCCATTACAGCGTTTCGTGGCCCCATAGGGAGCCCCACCGAAGGTCCCAGTGCTACCGTCCGCATGCGTCCCGCACACCCAGTACAGCGTTTCGTGGCCCATAGGGAGCCTCACCGAAGGTCCCAGTGCTACCGTCCGCATGTGTCCCGCACACCTAGTACAGCGTTTCGTGGCCTTCCTCCCCCTACTCCCCGCGTTTCACCCACCCATTACAGCGTTTCGTGGCCCCATAGGGAGCCCCAGCGAAGGTCCCAGTGCTACCGTCCGCATGCGTCCCGCACACCCAGTACAGCGTTTCGTGGCCCCATAGGGAGCTCCACCGAAGGTCCCAGTGCTACGGTCCGCATGCGTCCCGCACACCCAGTACAGCGTTTCGTGGCCCCATAGGGAGCTCCACCAAAGGTCCCAGTGCTACCGTTCGCATGCGTCCCGCACACCCAGTACAGCGTTTCGTGGCCCTCCTCCCCCTCCTCCCTGAGTTTCACCCACCCAGCACGGCGTTTCGTGGTCCCATCGGGAGCCCCACCGAAGGTCGCAGTGCTACCGTCCGCATGCTTACCGCACGTCCAGTACAGCGTTTCGTGGCCCCATAGGGAGCCCCACCGAAGGTCCCAGCGCTACCGTCCGCGTGCGTCCCGCACACCCAGTACAGCGTTTCGTTGCCCCATAGGGAGCTCCACCGAAGGCCCCAGTGCCCCCGTCCGCATGCGTCCCGGAAGCTCAATTTGGCATTTTCGCCCACCCAGTGCAGCGTTTCGTGGCCCCATAAGGGGCTCCACCCAAGGCCCCAGTGCCACCGTCCGTATGCGTCCGGGAAATGTAATTTGGCATTTTCACCCGCGCAGTGCAGCGTTTCGTGGCCCCAGAAGGGGGCTCCACCGAAGCTCCTAGTGGGACCGTCCGCATGCGTCCCGGGAACCCAATTTGGCATTTTCACTCAGTAGAGCGCTTCGTGGCCCCATATGGTGCTCCACCGAAGCCGTCAGTGGGACCGTCCGCATGCGTCCTGGAAACCCAATTCGGCACACCACCCACACAGTACAGCGTTCCCCCCCGCCCAGTGCAGCGCTTCGTGGCCCCATAGGGAGCTTCACCGAAGCAGATATTCACAATTATGGTACCCACAACTGCATATGGTTGGGACCTTCGCCAGGATGATTTTTGAGTATTTTTCCCCACATCCTAAGTGGGGTTCTTGTTTTCTCTGCGCACCCTCCGCGCAGGATCTCTCCTCCTCCTCCTCCCTCTCCTCTGCTCCTCTTTGCTTCCTCCTCCGCATCATCATCACCATCACCATGACTCCCCACTCATCATCATCATCATCACCATCAGCATCACCATCACCATCGCACGATCACTCACCATCATCGGCATCGAACGGTCATCATCATCATCATCATCATCATCATCATCATCATCATCATCATCATCATCATCATCATCATCATCATCATCATCATCATCATCATCATCATCATCATCATCATCATCATCATCATCATCATCATATCATCGCTGACTTGAGGCCTGAATATGGAGGAAGTATCAGGCGGGAGCCTCGTCTGTGAGTGAATTGTGAGGAAGTCTCAGGCGGGAGCCCCCTCCCTATGGGGCCCGCACTTCATGTTTGAATCCGAGCGGGTCATCCGCAACGTGCAACTGTCGTCACTTTTGGGCTCTTGAGACTTGAATATGGAGGAAGTCTCGAGCGGGAGCCTCGTCTGTGAGTGAATTGCGAGGAAGTCTCAGGCGGGAGCCCCCTCCCTATGGGGCCCGCACTTCATGTTCGAATCCGAGCGGGTCATCCGCAAAGTGTAACTGTGTCACTTTTGGGCTCTTGACCTGAATATGGACGAAGTATCAGCGGGAGCCTCGTCTGTGAGTGAATTGTGAGGAAGTCTCAGGCGGGAGCCCCCTCCCTATGGGGCCCGCACTTCATGTTCGAATCCGAGCGGGTCATCCGCAACGTGCAACTGTCGTCATTTTTGGGCTCTTGAGATTTGAATATGGAGGAAGTCTCGAGCGGGAGCTTCGTCTGTGAGTGAATTGTGAGGAAGTCTCAGGCGGGAGCCCCCTCCCTATGGGGCCCGCACTTCATGTTCGAATCCGAGCGGGTCATCCGCAACGTGCAACTGTCGTCACTTTTGGGCTCTTGAGACCTGAATATGGAGGAAGTCTCGAGCGGGAGCCTCGTTTGTGAGTGAATTGTGAGGAAGTCTCAGGCGGGAGCCCCCTCCCTATGGGGCCCGCACTTCATGTTCGAATCCGAGCGGGTCATCCGCAACGTGCAACTGTCGTCACTTTTGGGCTCTTGAGATTTGAATATGGAGGAAGTCTCGAGCGGGAGCCTCGTCTGTGAGTGAATTGCGAGGAAGTCTCAGGCGGGAGCCCCCTCCCTATGGGGCCCGCACTTCATGTTCGAATCCGAGCGGGTCATCTGCAACGTGTAACTGTCGTCACTTTTGGGCTCTTGAGGCTGAATATGGAGGAAGTACCAGGCGGGAGCCTCGTTTGTGAGTGAATTGTGAGGAAGTCTAAGGCGGGAGCCCCCTCCCTATGGGGCCCGCACTTCATGTTCGAATCCAAGCGGGTCATCCGCAACGTGCAACTGTCGTCACTTTTGAGCTCTTGAGACCTGAATATGGAGGACGTCTCGAGCGGGAGCCTCGTCTGTGAGTGAATTGTGAGGAAGTCTCAGGCGGGAGCCCCCTCCCTATGGGGCCCGCACTTCATGTTCGAATCCGAGCGGGTCATCCGCAACGTGCAACTGTCGTCACTTTTGGGCTCTTGAGACCTGAATATGGAGGAAGTCTCGAGCGGGAGCCTCGTCTGTGAGTGAATTGTGAGGAAGTCTCAGGCGGGAGCCCCCTCCCCATGGGGCCCGCACTTCATGTTCGAATCCGAGCGGGTCATCCGCAACGTGCAACTGTCGTCACTTTTGGGCTCTTGAGACCTGAAGATGGAGGAAGTCTAGAGCGGGAGCTTCGTTTGTGAGTGACTGGCGAGGAAGTCTCAGGCGGGAGCCCCCTCCCTATGGGGCCCGCACTTCATGTTCGAATCCGAGCGGGTCATCCGCAACGTGTAACCGTCGTCATTTTTGGGCTCTTGATGCCTGCATATGAAGGAAGTATCAGGCGGGAGCCTCGTCTGTGAGTGAATTGTGAGGAAGTCTCAGGCGGGAGCCCCCTCCCTATGGGGCCCGCACTTCATGTTCGAATCCGAGCGGGTCATCCGCAACGTGCAACTGTCGTCACTTTTGGGCTCTTGAGACCCGAGTATGGAGGAAGTCTCGAGCGGGAGCCTCGTCTGTGAGTGAATTGTAAGGAAGTCTCAGGCGGGAACCCCGTCCGTATGGGGCCCGCGGATCATGTTACTAATCCGAGCGGGTCATCGGAAACTTATAACTGTCGTCACTTTTGGGCTCCTGAGGCCTGAATATGGGAGAAGTATCAGGCGGGAGCTTCGTTTGTGAGTGAATGGCGAGGAAGTCTCAGGCGGGAGCCCCCTCCCTATGGGGCCCGCAGATCATGTTAGTTCGTTTCGAAATATACGCAGAAGAGACAAGCCAAGACGCCTCACAAACCACGAGGACGACGGTGAGGGCTTTTCCCAGATTCGCCCAGAGGGCTCTCATGCGGGGTCCTTCCGTCGGAGTAATTTATTTTTCGTTCAAAATCCCCCTGTAGGAGGACAGGCCCGGCTTAAAACTACTCAGGATGAGGAGCTGGCCCCAGTGGGAGCACTACGGTCCAGGACCCGTTTCCTTCAGATACCCGTACCCTCACGTCATACTTAACAGTCAAGCCGCATCACAAGGATGAGTCCTTTTCTTCAGGGAGTAGCCCTTACTTCTTCGCCTCCTGGCCCCATCCTAACTAGCCCTTAGCCACGGGCCATGGGTGTTCAATTTCGGCTTCACTCTACGCGCATCCCGTCTGACCTGTAGCTAATGATAAGACCGTGCTCTACCCTGCGAGGCGCGGAACGCGTGGTGGTGACGGGCACGGGTAAGGGCACATGAGCACCAGCGGCAGTTCTCTCATAGTGGCAGGCACAGGCAAGCACAGTTCGATGATCCTTTGGACGTGTATTAGCCCAAGATGTGTTTCACAGTGCGGGCGATCGGTGGAGCCGAGCGGGGTGCTAAGCGCAGCTCCACCGACAGCACGCGGCCTCTGTCGGGCCTCAGTACACCGTCTGCATCATGAGGGCCTTCCGTGGACAAGCACACGTTGGCGCGAACGCACGTCCTGAGGGCCACCGAACAGTGCCGAGACGCACGGGGGGCACCGCCACCTACCTGCCCCGTGAGCGGCGCGATTCCCCGGACGCGCGGCGCTCCGATCTGCTCCGTGCGTGGGCCCTCGAACCTCTCGGCCACATCTCCAGGGCCGGCTTCTCATCACGAGTCGTGCTCGACGGTCCCGCTGCGTCTTGTCCTGAGAGTGTCTCCTTGAAGGAGACACTCTAGTGTGATGCCTCTCAGAGACTCCTCCTCCAAGGAGAGACCTCCCTCTCAGAGGCCTCCTCCTCTGCTCCTTGAGGAGGAGGAGGAGGACCCTCTCAGAGTCTCTCCTTGAAGGATTCAACGCTGCCTCCTCCCCCCAGCGGCCGCCTTTGCTTTCCCCGTGTCGCAGATGCACAGTACATGCCGCTCCGCGGCCTGTTCTGGCCTGGACGCAGTGTGACCCGCATCGCTGCGGCCACGCCGCTGCCGCCAAGATGTTGTGACGTTCCCCCGAGGCCCTGCACAGGCCCCCAGAGGCCAAACATGTCGACAAACCAGCCGCTTTCACCTGCTCGATTCGACGGGTGTCTGAATCTCTCTCCTCCGTCCTCCAGCGGTCGTTCTGAGCACGCGTTGACCGCGATGCCACCGTCCACAACCTCCGTCTCCAGCAGTGGAAGTGCCTCCGGCCGCTCCGCAGGATGCCCAGGGCGAGGACAAGACCGCCTGGGAGAGCCGCCTGAAAGGCGGCTGCCTGCGGGCCTGGAGCCCATCGCCTCTGCTCCGTCCGTCGGGCCCTCCCCCCAGGGCGTCGTTTCCCAACCCTGCTGCGTTGGGTTCTCGTTTGGAATGGAGCACAGGGGTCAGCACGCTCCTCCTCCTGCCTCCCTTCTCTGTCCCTCCTGTCTCTTGCCTCGCCCTCGTCCCTCCGACCTGCGTGCCGTCCTGCCCCCCACCTCGCCGTCCTGCCGGACCTCGCCACCCCTGCGGGGCTGCGAGCTGCGAAGCGGTCGCCACGGTCGAGGGTTACTGGGGGGGCCAGCACCGTGGGGTACCGGGCGCACGTTCAGATCAGACCTCGCCTGCCCTGGGGGGCTGCGAACCGCGACGCTGTCGCCTCATTCGAGGGCCGCTGCTGGGGTGGGGTGGGGGAGCACAGTGGGTATACCAGGCGCATCTTCAGATGAGACCTCGCCGTCCGTGGGGGGCTGCGGCCCGCGAAGCTGTCGTCACTTTCCAGATTTGGCTATTCAGAGAAAGAGCCGTGCCGTCCATCTCCCTGGCCATTCTGCGGAGTGTGCGGCCTGTTGGGTGCAGGGTCTGAGGCGGGCTCCCTCGTCTTCTGGTCTGCCCCATCTCTCCTGGTGGCGCAGGGCCCTGTTTGCCTGCGGGAAGTGAGGTGTGGGGGAGGGGCGCCGTGCTCTTGGGGCAAAGGAGGGGGGTGACGACCGGGTTTATCTGGATCAGAGCGCGAGGGGGTATTGCATGCGAGTGGTCACCTTGTCCATTGATGCGGTCAACGGTGGGAATTTGGGAGATCTCACGAGACGTGAGTTTGCTCATTTCTGGTTTCATATGCTTGTTGAGGGGGAAGTATCGCGAATTCTGGCTGGGCCGCTGCACGAGACGTGGTCGAGCGCTAGGTTCAAAACTTTGTCCACTCACTCTAAGCGGCCGAGGCCGCTGAGATCGTTGGACTTCCCCGGGGGATCATGGCCCTCAAAAACAGGGATCAAGATCAAGTGCGTCGCGGGAATGCTCTGCTCAGCACCGCCGTTTTGTTTCTGCGTCAAGCCTATCATGCGCAGGTGCTGTGCATTCTGGAACACCCCAGTAAAAGTGTTCATCGCCCCCTTGCCTTTTATTCCAGAGGCCCGCGCCGACTTATGCGTATGGTCGGCAAACCGAGGGCCGATAAAATGGATGTCCATCATAGTATGTTCGGAACGCCGTGTAGGAAGAGGATGGCTCTCCTTGCTGTGAGCTGTAGTGCTGTGCCGCGTCTGATTCGCCCTTCTCGCGGGGGCGGGAAGTGCGATGGGATTCATCGCCATCATGCGATTCTCCAAGGTGTGGAAGCGGATGCGGCGTGGTACGTGGGAAGAGCCAGGAGTTGCCCACCCTTTTATGCCATCTCCTCGCCTCCGGTTATGATGCTCCAAACTACTTTAGCCTGGATCACCAGGAATAATTTCGAGCGCCCAAAAGAGTACCGAAATTCAAGGGTTTTCACGTGTCGGGCCCTTGGAAACACTCGCCCGACACTGTTTCGACACTGTTTCGACACTCTTCTGACACTTTTCGGGTGCTCGAAATTATTTCTGGGATGTGGTCCTCAAGTAGGATGGGAACAGCATAAGCCTCCGGACTCTTTGAGGTCCTGTTGAGGGACGGGTTTGTGAGGGGAAGGGGGGGATGTAGCGGATGTGGGGTGGTACGTGGGAAGATCAAGGAGGTACGTGGGAAGAGCCAGGAGGGACGTGGTTTTGTTGAGGGACGGGTTTGTGAGGGGAAGGGGTTTGAGGTCTGGAAGCGGATGCGGCGTGGTACGTGGGAAGAGCCAGGAGTTGCCCACCCTTTCCTGTCATCTCCTCGCCTCCGGACTCCTTTGAGGTCCCGTTGAGGGACGGGCGTGTGAGGGGAAGGGGGGGGGGGAGATGCTGTCGAGATGCTGTCGAGATCCTGTTGAGATCCTGTTGAGATCCTGTGTGAGGGTTTGTGAGATCCTGTGGGGGGCAGGGGCGGGGCGTGCCCTGCGGCCGTGGCCCCGGTTTTTGGTACCGCTCGGTCCCCATTCCCGCAGGGAGCGGGGGAGTCGACTGCTCGCGCAGGAGGAGGAGTTCTGCGGCCGGTCGGTGGTGTCCTGTCCCGGGCCGCTGCCCACCCCGACCTCGCGTGTGAGCTTCGTGAGCTCGAGCGTCGACTGGTCGGGCACCACCTGGGGGCCCAGAGCGCGCGCCCCTGAGATACGGGCGCTGCACTCTTCTCCTCTCAGGTCAGTTGGTGATGTCCTGTCCCTTGCCATTTCTCTCTTGCTCTCTCCGTCTTTCTTGTCCCCCCCTCCAGAACAGGCAGCGGGTCAAGCAGAGTCGAGCCGAATCGAATTGAGTCGAGGAGGACGGGAGGACGGGAGGAGGAGGAAGAGGAGGAGGAAGAGGAGGAAACGCAGGAGGAGGAGGAGGAAAAGCAGGAAGAGGAGGAGGACGAGGAGGAGGAGGAGGAGGAGGACGAGGATAATGTCGTGTCGCTTCGTACCGTCGCTCTTGCCCCCAGTCGTGTGTCGCGTTCGCATCCCTTCGGGTCCCGCTGTTGCTCGCCTTGTGCCCTCATTTTTGCTTCTTCCTTACCCCTCTTGCTCTCTCTTTCCCCTCTCTCGTCCTTCTCCTGTTCGGGCTTTGCGTTTCGTTGTCTGGCTCTCTTTCCTTGCCTCTGCTGTAGTCGGTCCTACTTCGCTCCTGGCTTCTCCCCTCTCCCCTCCCTCCTCGGGTTCGCGCCCCCCGTTACCCTCGGCTTGCGGCTCGCGCGCGCTGTTTGTTCGCTTTAGGGGACGTCGGCTCCTCTTGACTCTGCTATCTCTTCTCCGAGTTTCGACCAACAGCGTCGGCGTCGCAACCCTCGGAATCAAAGTATGATTATGAGGAGTCATACTAATTTTCAATCTAAATCTTTAATCCCATAATTATTAACCCTAAACCCTGTAAGTCCGGCTGCATACGACCGGCCGGACATGTAAACCCTCACCATCCCTTGCAACACATATTTTTCCTGAGCATCGGATGTTCTACAATAACAAGTTCGTTGTTATGGTATGCAACATTTTATATTCTGAACATTCATATGGAATCAACCCATGCAAACCCATACGATCTGCGAGCGGGCACGCACGGAAACGCCTTCGGGCTATACGACCACATGGAAATAATTGGGCCAACCCTTACTCTCTGCGAGCGGGCACGCACGGAAACGCCTTCGGGCCATACGCCTCTAGTGCCTGTACTAAGCCTCGGGATAACATGCAACCTTCACCATCTGCTCCCAGGCGCTCCCAGGCGCTTCCAGGCGCCCCGTTCCATGCGCTCCCAAGCGCTCCATGCGCTCCTGGCTCTCGCGGTAGTCGCTGTACGCCCAAGCGCTCCTAAGCTCTCGCAGGCGCTCCCAGGCGCTCCCAGGCGCTGCGAAGCGCTCCCAGGCGCTCCCACGCGCTCGCAGGCGCTCCCAGGCATTCCCAGGAGCTCCTAGGCGCTCCCAAGCGCTCTCGGACGCTCCCAGGCGTTCTCAAGCGCTCCCAGGCGCTCCCAGACGCTCCAGGGGCTCCCAGGCGCTCCCAATCGCTCCCAAGCGCCCTTGGGTGCTCCCAGACACTCCTTGGCGCTCCCAGGCGCTCCCAAGTCCTGGCGCTTTCAGGCGCTCCCAGGTGCTCCCAGGCGCTTCCGGGCGCACCCATGCGCTCCCAGGCGCTCCCAGGCGCTCCCAAGCGCGCCCAAGCGCTCCTTGGCGTTCCCAGACATTTCTTGGCGCTTCATGCGCCCATGCGCTCCCAGGCGCCCTCGGGTGCTCCCAGGCGCTCTCAGGCGCTCCCAGGCGCTCCCAGGCGCTCTCAAGCGCTCCCAAGCGCTCCTAGGCGCTCCCACACATTCTTGACGCTCAGGCGCCGGCGCTCCCGGGTGGTCCCAGGCGCTCGCAGGCGCTCCCAGACGTTCCCAGGCGCTCCCAGGCGCTCCCAAGCGTTCCCAAGCGTTCCCAGGCGCGCTCAGACACTCCTTGGCGCTCCCAGGCGCCCAGGCGGTCCCAGGCGCTCCCAGGTCCTCCCAGGCGGTCCCAGACGCTCCCGGGCGCTCCCATGCGCTCCCAAACGCTCGCAAGCGCTCCTAGGCGCTCCCAGACACACCTTGGCGCTCCCAGGCGCCCAGGCGCTCCCAGGCGCTCCCAAGTGCCCCCAGGCGCTTCCAGGCGCTCCCGAACGCTCCCAGGCGCTCCCAGGCGTTCCCAAGTGCTCCCAGGCGCTCCGAGGCGCTCCCAGGTGCTCCCAGGCGCTCCCGGGTGCTCCCAGGCGCTCCCAGGCGCTCCCAGATAGCGCAGCATCGCATAGCATAGCACGGCATTGCGCAGCGCAGTATAGCGCAGCATAGCATAGCATAGCTTATACGTATGATGTACTCTTGGGTCCAGGAAATTTGGGGACTTTCGGTTGATCAATTTATCTGTCCGTGAAGTTTCGAACAGAAGGCATTACATTCTATGAGGAGTTGACGTACCGAACGCGAGTCTGAGACATCACGCCAGGACCTTCTATGTGGCCTGACCAGTATGCGACTATTACTCGCTCGCACCCTGGGATCATTGAGCGGACGAGGGCCCTTCAGATTTTGCTGCCCGCTTCGGCTTGTGAGTCTATGTGCGTGTCCCCGGCGATCTGTGCAAGGAGTGCGTGGTCAGACAATTCTCTATGTGTCGTTGCTTTTTGTTGTAGTTCTTCGCGCTTATGCGTCATGCACTTCTGTGATTGGTCTTGCAGTCGGCCACGCTTGCATATTGTAGCTCTCCGAAGCGCTCCTGGGGCGTGTTGGGCCATCTTGGAATTCCATTTCGGCTGCCGCGTTCTCTATGCGCAACCCGGTATCATTTCGCTCTTGCGCCTTATCTTCTCCCTGAGATTCGTCATCTATGCAGTTGCAATTGTTCAGCCATGCGGGCGTCCACTTCGCTTGTGTTCTCTATCTGGCGTTCAATGGGTCGCTCGGCTATGCGCGTGTCCCCGGC